TTGTCACCCTTCCTCTCAGCTTCTCCTAGGATATGACTTTCACCTCCCTTTCCTCTCTCAAGCCTTGCACGAACTTATGAACTTGCTATCTTTTAAATTCCCCTGCCAAAAACTTTGCTTCTCCTCATCTCGCTCCTTGTCTCTACTTTCTCTTCTTCCCCATCTTTTATCTGTCTTCTTTTCCATTTCACTCTTCCTTTCTGTCACTCTCTCCGTCTGTCTCCTCTGCCCTCTTCAAGGGGTAAAGACATTACAGAGATCCTTTCCTCTCAGCCACTATTGATTCCCAGCTCAGCTTACAAAAATCAATAAATCACCAATTGGATCAAAACGGAGACTAGAGGGTGAAAGAGAGAGAGAGAGAGAGGAGGAGAGGAGAGAAAAACCATAAAACACAGACAAAGAGGAAAACAATGGGGTGAAAGAGAAATAAGTGATCATAAAAGTGTTAATATTGAATCATTCAGACCTCAGATAAAAGAATACACGAAAACCCAAGAATAAAAACTTTAAAATGTGAAAACTCCTTTGCTTGGGTTAAATGCAATTAGCATATCAAGGCCTCACAAAGTTGGATTTCGTAAGTAAAAAGTACAGTCATCATGAGCTCAAGGGGGATTCACTGAACAGCGGGAGGAGGAGTAAATTAAGATGGACAACAGAATAAAAGAATCTGGAGGTGTGTTTGTGTGAGGTGCTCTGATCCTTATTGACTGGCCTGGGGAAATGGTTTTGCTTGATGGAGGAGATTGTACTCTGATAGAGAGAGAGGGAGAGAAAGGGAGAGAGAGGGACAGAGGCCTGATGGAGCTATCAGAGCCCAGACTATCTCTCTCAGTTACTGTAATTTCATACAGGTGCCCACACACCCAACACACACACACACACGAACACTTAGATACGGACCATCTTCCAACAGACGGACAGCGGTGTCTGGCATCATTAACCTGGCGTCTTTCTAATTCAGACAGATTGTGGCTGGTGTGTGTGTTGTGTGTGTGTGTGTTAGTATGTACTCCCCTCCGTGTATATCTGGTGGTCTAGTTGTGTCTGTGCTCTTGCTAAGTGAGCAACTTCCTGAACTTTGGCCACTGGGATATAGATTTCTAGTAAGATAAATGATTTGCAGACATATTTAGCCTGCAAACACACACACACACACGGATGAGACTTCGGTTGGCACAGTTTATATAAGAAGTTTCACTGTCGACTAACAGAAACACATTTCTTTACAAAAGGTTTCTATACAAGCTGCAAAGTAAAAGCTGATTAATTAAAATGTATTTTTAATGTTTTCTGTCTCCCAGGCTTATTTTAATTAATCAAGGAATATGAGGCTGTGCAAACAGTAATATTACTTGTTTAAGACAACACAGCCACCAAAAATTATAGATGCAAGATGTTACCTAAGAATGAGATGTGTTTATCTACAGATGCCACGGGTTGCCTTCCACGGAGGCTGCCATGTTGAACCTCCATGCTTCTACAGTAGCCCAGAGTGGACAAACCAATCCAAACACTGGCTCTAGATGAGGCTGTTTGCATGTTTTGCGGACACCATAGTTTCTCCCTCGCTCTTGGAAGGGTGAAATGAGTAAGTTGCAATCTGCAGCTACACCTAGATGCAACTAAATGCTACACACTGGACCTTTAAAGTACAACACATTCACATAATAAATAAAACCTAACCCAACTACAATAATTTAACACTACATGACAGTTACAGTACTAATAACAGCAGAATAAATTATGAGCTGCTATTCTATAAACTCTAGCTTCAAACTTCAACTCTTTTGCTAAGATTTTATATTTAAATGCAATATTGGCGTGATGCTGTCGGGGTCACCCTTACCTCCCAGGTGATAGGTTCCTCCCGTGGTGATGGTGAGAGGTGAGGTGGAGCGCACAGCAGACGCCTCCTCGCCATCTATCGTCAACATGGCAAAGTTCTCCTTGGCGACCAAGCGTATTGCGTGCCATTGGCCGTCGTTAAGGCTTGAACCTAGAAGAGGGGCAGAGATAAAAATGTTTTGAGAACACACACTGCAAGTATTTTTGCCCGACCATAAATTATAAACATTGTGCTCTAGAAGTGTAAACCCTTTGTGGTTAGTTCATGGTTTTAACTGTCTCACAGGTCTAACCCACATCGTCTTTTGACTAGCTACTGACTTTACTTGTAGCTTAATAACAAAAAAATCCAGACTGATTTCTGAACTCAACTTTGTTATAAGAGATTATAAGAGAATGTCAAGAACCTGACTAGGATTTAAGGAAAAAATGACTGAGTGACTCATCATGGGTGAGAAGTATGTGGGTGTTGAAACTAGGAAATGCAATTTCTGTCTATGATGTGTGGCTATCCCTCTCTGTTTACCTTCTACTTTGTCAGTATTTTCTCCACAATCATTGCACCCCTGAGTTTTTTACCCAAGCTGCCTGCTGAATGTGGCTTCAGACAGAGTTAAGACATTCTCAGCAGAGGATCATCTTCACATATTTTTCTCACTTCTACACATATTCTCATATGTATGCCAATGCTGCCCAATTCTTCTTCCTTTCTCTTTTGTTCTCCCACTCCTACTTTCTCTCTCCCTCTCTCTAAGCCGAGTGCAGCTCCCAGTCTCAAGGCCCCTGTGTCTCAACTCCATTAACTCTCAGAGAACCCTGTTTGCGACTGAGCACCAAAGTGCATGTGTGTGTGTTCTCTATCTGCGCATGCAAGCTTTGAGCACTTTGTGCGAGTGTGTACGAGTCTGTAATGTGCTGCGTTGTCTGCATATGTCAATGTAGTGTGTGTGTGGCTGTTCGTGTAATGCGAGTTTTGTGCTCTCCTTTTCTCTCTCTTCCCTTGTAGCTGTGCTCCATTAAATATGAGTGATGTTTTGGAAAGGGACATTACTACTGGAGCCGAGAGAGAAGCCAGCTCGCTCTCATCACCCTCTCCTCTATACATCACCTCTTACTGACACCAATCTCTATTCATCCTTCCTTCCCTGCCTCCCTCTATGTCCCTGATTCTTTCTTCTGTCTCTCTGTCCTGTGTTTCTGCATTTCACTTCTCCCTTTTTTCTTTCTGTCTTTATACTCCTCTTTTCTTGTGGCCGTCTGCTGCATTGTCCGTCTTTTTCAATTCGGCTCCGCTCACTGCTTCACTGACTGTAATACATCGATAGTGAGGACACCGTAGTGAAGTTCAAGGTACGGTCACGTGCAAATCAATCTCAGAAGAGTGCACATACATTCATGCATTCCAGTCAATACACATGTACCTTAGCATGCTGTATACGTGTAAAACCCACGCGTGTGAGACAGTCCGCAAGCTTCTTTTAGTACATTGCTTTGTATGTGAGAGTGTCTTGTGTGTGTCTTCACCATCTACAAGGCCCACTTTTGCATAGTTTATTTCTTCCCAGAATGCACTTTGAGACCCTGGCTTTCATGTCAGTAGGGGTCTACGCTAATTAATCTCCATCACCAGGGTTACCATGTGTATGTGTGTGAGCGTATGTGTGTGTCATCATTGCAGTAGCCAAGATGGCCACCTGCTGAGGTGGGGTGACCGCTGTGGCCTTGTTCAGGAAAACGCTGGTTAGATACGCACACATGCAACACACACACACAC